AGCCAGTAGCTATTATGTTTGGAAGAATACAACCTCGAAACCGAACGGGCAGGGGAGAGGATCTGACAGAGGAGCTGCTCCCGGAAACTAAGTCTCATCCTCCGCTCCAAACAGGAAAGATCTTCCGATTTCCAGGTTTTTTTCCCTGCTTCACTGCAGGGCACTATCGATACCAGAAAAACATTTATTTTGTCACAGATAAAGAACAAGTTTTGATCATCTCCTCAATGCCCAATTTTCTCCCAGTTGAAGGAATGAAAAAAAAAAAAAAAAAAAAACAACCAAACCCAAAAAACAAAAAACTACTACCTTCCACTGGACCTTGGATGAACAGGAATATGGATTTATAAAATACGTGGCTACATCCAGTCAATAAAACTCATTTTAAAAACGATGCCCACATATATGATTAACTGTCAGATGATAATCAGAGTGGGGAAGACATTCAAATATCTATTTCTACAGGCTTTGTTTTCATTTTCCTTTTCAAAACTCATCTCTTCATTTTTTTCTTTTACAAATATACACACACGAAACCCTGACAAAAAGAATTTTTGCAAAGACATTTTGCACAGCAAGGCTAGGGTGGGTGAACACAAAGACGTGCAGCAGTGAGTCCAGAGCCTCCTGTTTCCCCTGACCAGAGTTCGCTTCCCTCCCTTCTGCACAGCAATCTGAATTCCATATGAGGGTCACAGCTTCTCTCTGAATTCCCAGCTTATGGCGCTATGTGTTGCCACCTTGATGCTATTTAGGTGGTTTTCTCTTAATGCACAGAAAGCGAAGTGTTCTCATTTAAACAGGTTTTTATTATTTGACAAGAACGCATTCCCTCAGATCGGAAGCTCCACTAACGATGCTACAATTGTATCACGCACTGCTGTAATCAACTGCGCTGTAAATTTAGGCAATACCACCTATACAGATATGTGTAAAAAAAAAGGCAGATTTTAGGGTCATACAGCTCAGAACATTAGAAAGCAAAAACTGTTCTCTGCATAGCACACAAGGAAACCGAGCGTTGAATTTCAGTTTGAGAATATAATTTTTTGTTTTGAACATTTAACCGTGTGCTGCTGCTATACCCTTGCTGGGTCTCACAATAAAACCTAGGAAACTAAGAGCCCTACTGTATGTTCTCCATTCCCAGCAACGTTCCTATGAGAAAACCTTATTAATGAGCTTGCAAACGAGCACCCAACAGGGAAATGTCACAAACAAGAGCGGCTAATGCCCCAGAAAATCAAATAAGTGAACACTTGGCTGATTGTGGTGCCTTTCATATTTATAATAAAAGAAGGGGGGTTTGATTCACTGATTCTGAAGGGGTCAACACCTTGCTGAACAAAACAACTCATTTACTTATGTTTAGAAATCTCCAGATGATAAATTACATTGATGTTAATCACTTCAATGCATACTACATAATTAATATCTGTACTCACCAAAAACTTAAGGATTATTAGAAATATGACAGCATACACATCTGGTTGATTTTTCACATAATTGGGCACAACAATTTCTCTTGGTAACACAAATAAGGGTACTAACAAACAAACACTGCGAAATTCTGGTTCAATTAATTACGACTTGAATCCACAAGACAAAAGCAATTCCGAGCTGCACTCAAGCCCTGCTTCTGTGGAACACGGAGGCACTCCATCTTAAGGGGAGAACCCTCTTCCTTTCTGTTTATCCTGCCATGCTTTGTTTCAATCCATGGCATTCAATTCCTGTTGTCACTGGTTCACTTCCCTTTCACCTTTTAAAAAAAGGGTACAATTTCTACAGAACTCAAATATGCCTCCTGCTATTTAACCTGTTCACGGTTAACATTCATTCATTCTAGAGCGTGTAAACAGGCATTGCCATAAACCCTCACTGCCCAAAATGAGCCAGGGTTAAACCAAGGAAGCTTACTTAACCGCACTGAAATCTGGTTAGATTTGCCTCTGGGTAGACTTATTTACTCAGAATAGAATCTGAGGGGTTTAGTATTTCCTGGCCATAATGTTTGTCACTAAAACAATAAGAAATGTTTTTAAGTGGTAAAGAAAAGGATATTTAAAAAATAATTGTACATTTAAAAACATATATATATATATATATATATATATAAAACAAAAAAAATTTTATAGATATTATTACATAGAATTTTCTAAGGCTAATAAAGCAATTAACTAACTGAAAGAATAAGTCTGATAAAGTGTCCCTCAAAACTCTTAGATTGTAACCAAAATGGTGTAACCATATGGTGAATATGTGGCTTTATTCATCTTTTCCAGGTCTATAGCTACCAAAGAATTTTAAAGGGATCAGTGATCAGCAAAAGAGCAAGAACAGACAGCTTCAAGGGTTTGGCTCAATTTAAAATACAGGTTCACTGGCCCTCCTCACCGGGGATCCACCATAATGAATCGCCCGCCCATGCAGACTGGCTGCTGAACAAACTGTTGCAAGACTCGTACACATTTAGCAAACCTCTTCTATTCTCATGGCCATCGGGATCTGTTGCCACTTGTCTTCAGAGAAACAACTGCTGAGAAGGAACGGAGCTGCGCCCCGTACCACTGGAGATGTGTGGCACCAGCACTGGGCCTGCTGACCAGTGGTGCGGGCACCTGAAGCGGGACACTTCTGTTAGTTACATAGCTGCTGGCGCTTGGGGAGAGGAAAGCTGGGAGGAAATGACATAGACAGATCAATTTTCGGATAAAGAAGTAATTGGAGGTATTCCTGGCTTACTTCGTGAAGTTCTTAGTAGTGTTCTAGGAATGGACACCACTCAACTATCAGGTGACTTTCTTCAATACTGACAAGCTTATTTTGGATTTCAAACCAGATCCCCATATTCTCATTCATAATAGTATAAAGCACTGTAATTTTTAACCTGCATTATAAAAATAATTTTCCTTGCATACATTAAAAAATAGAATATTGAGGAAAAAACATTTCTGCAGTAACTTATGTTGGATAAAAGAACACAGGCTAACCCTTCTTCAAAAAAGAAAAAAAAAGTCATGTTAGAGCTAGGGAATGATCACTAAATGCATCATCATCTTAGAAAGGTGTTAAATTAGTCACTTTCCTGCAGTCAGGAGCCAGCGGTACTTTGTTAGACTGAACTATAAAATGGATTCAGCTCTAAAGCCTTATTGTTTTCCTCGGAAGGACAAATCTCTCTTGAATACACAGAATATGGAAGGCAAGGCTTTCAGGATCATGATCTACTTTTCCAAGGGACAGGAGGTGTGCCATTTGAAATACTATGCATTTGGCAGTGTAATTTTGTAGTGAGTGGAGCTATATTCTACTTAAAAGATACTCTGGGAAACTACTTAAAGAGTTTAGGGGTGGCAACTGGGCAAATATCTACTCAGGACCCACAAAGGAGCTAATGTATTATTAAAGCTAATGGGCCCCTACAAGGAGCGTTAATGGATATTAAGTTTGCTTAAATGAATTACATATTAACAAAGTCACAAGAAATCTACTATCTGCCAATTTAGATAATATCTGATCGTTTCTGTTTTCCCATTATAGGGACATTACACAATAGTTTCAGCGATATGAAAATTATAAGCATGATACTCATAATGAAAATATATAATGAAGTAGATAAAATGAATTAACAAGAAAAACCTGCATTATGTAACGTTAAATTGAGCCAAGCTCAGAGTAGCAAAAGGCTGGAATGGAGTGTGTCTTACAAACAAATTCTTACACCTTTCTTTTGCTCCGGCAAAACATACGAGAAAAGATATGTATGGTTGATTGGTGGCCGCAAAAGATATATCCAGGTTCCAACTACTAGAGCTCATGAATGTGGTCTATTATGGAAAAAGAATGTCTGTATATTTCCCTCTAGGATTTCAAGGGACAACTATTCTGGACCATCTGAGTGGCACCTACATCCAATCACAAGTGTCTTGACAAGCAACAGAGAGAAGAGAAGGCCACATCAAAGTGGAGAATGACTTTATGAAGCCAAATTTCAGAACTCTTGGGCTCCTTAGAAGCTGGAAAAGGCAATGGAACATCCCTGCCTAGAGCCTCTGGAGAGAATGAGGTCTGACCGACACCTCAGGTTTGGTCTTTTATCCTTCACAATTGTGAGCAAATGAATTTCTGTTGTCTTAACCCACCAAGATTCAGGAATGTGAGTTATTACAGTGGCCCTGCACATTAACATAAGAATTCACAGAGGGCAATGCTTTTTCTCCATTAGCTCCCAATGACTGCCATCCTAAAATTTCAAACTCTTACAGTGTTTTCACTGTGCATATTCAAACAGCACCTGGAAGTTATCAGAAACCAAGTTACAGAACGCTTTCATGAAAAGTGAATTATGGCTATTTGGACACAATTTGGCCAAGAGAATGGTTTTCACGTAGAATCTAGATTTTTTTCTTTTCCAGCAGATGGGTGCAGAGGAGACAATAACATATTTAGTCTGTAGGGCACCTTAAGGAAACGGCCTCATTCACTGCAATACAGCTTTGACTGCTGAAGCCATGGACATGTGGCACTGATCAATAGAGTCTCACTTTCAATTCGTTGTAATTTAAGATAAAATAGAGGTGGACATGCAATTTAAAACAAAATGCTGATGTGGAAAAGGAATAAAGTATCTCCTATAAAAAAATTCATCGCTCATGATAGGATTAAAAGAGGAAGAAATTACCCTAGATTTTGAAGTTGGCACAGAAACGATGACAAGTCTACATATTCAAAGAAATTAAATTTCAGTCATTTGTTAAAGCAGACTGGAGTCACTTTAGTTTTACATTTGAGTTAAATGTACTGTTCTCACACTCACAGAGGCACTTTCTAATATGGTAATATTTCCTTAAGACAATCCTGTGATTATTTCTCTACGTGGATAACAGGGAAAAATTCCATCAATGCTACTGTACTGTAAAATGTACATGTGCATCCAGTAAAGAGGCTCTAAGCAATTGCTATGCTATATTCTCAGAATAAGTCGCTCGTGTACTCACACTGTACTTCTAGATAGCGCTGGGTCTGCAAGTTTCCTGTGACAGCAGGGTGCTCCACCTGACAGATCACTGGGACCCCATCATCCTCCTTGTGCACCTTCAGCATCAGCTGGCTGGTCACAGTGTACATGTCTGACCACTCTTCCACCTCCGATTTGCCTGGAAGACAGATGACCGATCAGGTAACCAGAGCTGGGTGATTTTCAGTCCTCTTCCCTCTTCCCCAAACCAAGCACTGCTATTTCAATAAATATGATGGAAATCACTCGGAGAAAGAAGTCTGTGGAAAGATGCACGATAAAATAGTTTATTCTTTAATTTCTAGCCTCTCAGACTTTGAGAATGGTATTGAAGATCTCTTTCAAACCCAAAAGCATTATTTTTACTGAAATATATTACTTATTTTTTTTTTATCTTAAAATCTCCTACAAGTAAGCTGTAAGTTCAGCCATTTTGACATTTGGCAACTTAAGAGTATTCAGAAGAAGGAAAAGAAAAGTGCTTTTTAACCCTACAGACATCTGAACTTGAAATATCTATGACGTTGTCATGCTGTTTAAAAATTCTAGGACATCATCCAAATCCCCTAAGTAATTCAATCAGCAGTAGAGATATAAACAACCCCTTCGCCTACCCCCATCATCAACAATTAAGAGGGAAAGTAACTAAATAGATTTACATAATTGAAATTGTAATTGAAATGTTTAAACTCTGAGACTTCTGGAAGACCACAGAGATGCAGCGGCAGTGGGTTAGAGCAAAGTGAGACCCAGGGCTTCGGGCCAGATGGGAAACACATCCAAGAACACCAGCAAAGGGCGGAGGCTTTCGGATGGAGTGAACAGGCCGAGGCACTCCCAGGAACACGGCACGCCATTAGCTTTCTCTTAATGTTTTGAATTTATCAGCACACATTTAATGGCTCAATTCACTTAGAAAACCAGAGGGGAAATGAGAAACTCCTTCCTTCCAAAACCGTACCTAGGAAATAGGAGATTAAAACACAGCAAGCTTTTGGAAATTTAAGGTATATATAAAGATTTGTTTCCAGATAAATATTTCTGTACCACCACTCTAAAAGGTCTTATTCTTTTCTTCCTCATATTGTCTGTTTATTTAACAAGCAGAGATACAGTACTCACTGGTCTAGGTGCTACCTGGTATGTTACAAGTATTCACATATTTTATCTTTGCAAGAATCCTATGCAGTATGTATTATTATTCCATTTTAGAGGCAAGTGAGGCAACCGGTTAGTTTTTGTCACGTAACTAGAGGGTTTGAGTTCCAGAATCCTGGGTTTAGGGTACTACGTGCAGGGTAACCCTGAAAGGAAAGGACTCTGAGAGGCAGCACATATAAAGGCCTGGGATCACTGATGAAAAATGGCCGAGGAACACGGCTGTAACAGTGGTGGCCAACCGGTGGCATGCATGCTGCAGGGGCCTCTTGTATCACTGCAAGCCCTAAGAGGTTCCCTATCACTGGGCTACACGCGTCTCCCGCACAGCAGCTGAGGTGGCAGATGTCTGAAGATCCGGAAGTCAAACCTGGGAACTCAGTACTGGAGGCGGCCACCTGAAGCAGGCTGCCCTGCACTATCACTGCAAAGCCAGAGCCCCTGCACAGCAGGCTGGTGTACTGGGCAACTGCACGACAAAGGCAGTTCCTCTAACCTCATAATTAACATAAAACATTGACTTCACTTAGTGCAACCCCTTTTGCGGAAAAGCACACAGTCAGCGTAGCTCACAATGTAATCAGTGGCAGTAGGACTTGGCACTTTAAAAAATACATACCTTGCAAATTTGAGGGTCTGATCCACTTGACTCACCATACCGGATAGTGTAAAAGCAATGAGAATTGAGATACAGTCTGAGCTGAGGTGATATCCCCACAGTAGTTCTGGCATAAAGTTCTAGTATACACGGTTAGTGTTTTGTTGAGCAGACCAACAGACATCATCGTGAACCCTCAAACCATAGACGGAGAACACGATTTAGAAGAAAATGTTCTCATGCCATGGTCTCAGATGTCTTTAGTAACTGATTACAAATTTATATCTAAATTAATATTTTTGTTCCAGAGACATGTCTTGCATTTGTCTATAAATTTCACAAAAGCCTGCTTGTTAAATTAAGTGCCAACTGACTACTTCAGTGCTGGCATCCTGCGTCATACCTTTGAGCTCTTTGTTCCCTTTGAACCATCTGATGGTTGTAGCTGGTTTGCTGGCCATGGCAGTGCAGTTGACTTCAATCTCCTCGCCTTCTACGGCAGTGTCTTTCTGGATATCGATCATCAGGTTACGCGGTGGGACTACAAATTAAACGTATGAGCTGTATAAACACAGAGGCCATTTCTGGACATAGTCTTCTATTTATTGGAAACTAGTCCTACTTCTATCAAAACAGAGACAAATAATGGACATTCCTGATGGGAATTTAAAACATACTGTCAACAGGAGGCAAAAGGAGGGCAAAGCCATCATTAAGTAAAATGAGTTATGCAAAAATCAGCAGATTTGAAAATCCTCTCCTAAATTTCTTATAAAATGACCAGTCTTCTCCTAAATTATCCCTAACCATGTTAAAGGACCGGAGGACAATAATTCTCCTTGAATGCAACACTTGGATTCCAATCTTATTATGACAGTTTTCAAAGTCTACCAACAAAGATCAAAAACCTGGGGTCCATTAAAAGACTCATTCATCAAAAACACACACAGAAAAATTATGCCCCAGAACCAGTTCTATTTAATTAGACTGATTCAAAGAAATCTAGAATGTAATCATGTCCTTCAATAGATGGCATATTAATAAAATCCTCTGGATACAAAGATGCAATAATAGAGAAAATGTCAATTAGTTTGCAGCAATTTTCCACATTCTGAATTTCAATGCTCCCAATTTTAGAAATCAAAGTAGATTTATATACCACAACGAATACCAATATTAAACATATGTGTGTGTGTATATATATATGTAACAAAATAGTCAAAATAAAAGATTTGGGGCTAACATACTAAATATCAAGTCAACAGCATGACGTTGGTGTATGATGATGATACAAGTTGTTTTGTTCTTTTAATGAAACTGAGCCTCTTAAAATACAAGTCAATAAGAACACTGAATTCAATAGTATGAATCTTAAGAATGTGTTCTGACCACCACCAATAAGCAAAGACAGCTCCGAGACTTATGATTAATAAGTTTTTCAACTCAGACGAGAAACAATAAGTTAAATATGTATCAACATGCCATCCTGATGATCAAGTTGAATAATATATATCTCTGATACTCCTTCAATAAATTATGGGATTAAACCATGTACTTGGGTTTCCAACTGCTCTGGTCCAGTATGAAAATTCTGCCACAGGAAGACTTTCACACTGAATTGAAGCAATTGAAAATTCTTAAGTGAGAATGATGAAAATGGCAAAGTAAAATGGTTTCTTGTATACATTTCTCAGCAAGGTAGTGTATTGTAGTGAGAAGCACAGGAATCCCTCTTTGTCCCCTGTGTACAAGGAAAACAACATATTTGCTCAAGTGGTATTGCTAATGTGAGATGGCCCAAATGAGTAGTTAAGCACAGCAAAGGACTATCCTAGTTTACATTTTAAAAAAGTAAAAATATAACTCAATATGCACGTTGGAGCTGCAGATCTGGCATTTTAGGACATACAGCGAGGCAGTGGCATGGAGATGAAATGACTTCAGCTGGCCATTTCCCTATGGAATTTCTCCACGCCATGTGACAGTCAGGTGGCTCACAGACTTGCATCCCACAGAGGTAGACAGTGGGTAGGGAATAGAGAGAGTAAATGTTTAGGATCAGCGAACTCTACTGCATTCTGAATGTAGTACAATAAAGATACTGAAAAAATTGCTAATGTTAGGTCAGATGTCAGAGAAAAGACTATCCAAGTCTAAAGAAAACAGGATGTTGGTAAGCCATAAGGGAGGAGATTAAAAGAAAGAAACAGCTAGCCAGGTCTCGTGGCCATACGTGTACTATTAGCACTTGGGAGGCCATACGTGTAATATTAGCACTTATGAGTTCAAGAGTGGCCTGAACTACATAGTGAGACCGTGTCTCAAAAAACAAACAACAAATAAACAAAACAACGAAGGAGGAAGAGATGTAAGAATGTCTGTTCAAACAAATGGAGGGACGGAAGTCAGAAAATAGCCTTTTCAAGGTCTAGGCAAAACCCAAAATGGAGTGATGACAGTTTTTGGTGTTAACATCCACAGTGGTTCTCAACGAGCACTGTAGCCTGAGTAAGCAGCTGATGGGCCATGAAGAGGGGAAGGAGGCCTGCTGAGGACAGGACAGGGTGAAGACCAGCGGCAAGCTTGGACAGCCTTATAGAACAGAACAATCAGATCCCTCTGACTCTCCAGGACAGACACCTCAGTGGTCACTCTGTGGAAACCGGACAAATGTCCTAGAATGGGGCACATCCACGGGCTGTTAAAAGACTGCTACAGATGGCTGTCAGGACAGTGGGACTCAGACTCAGATGTGTTCTGTCACATAGCTGCTTTTAGTGTCCCTCAGTATCTTGCCTTAATCTTTCATTACTCATGTTGAGCCTGAAGCATTCTTACACTCCTCATCCCAGGCTTCTCTGAATGACCACTAACTGCTCATTTCCAAAGGCTTCTCTTGGTAGAGACTCTTTGGACCCTCCTTTTCATCATAAAGATGGCGTCTGCTTTCTACATGCTTTCTATTAACATCCTTTGGCTCAAAGTAAGGAAATGAAAACAATTGGGTATGGGTAAATACAGAGAAAAAGCTGCTAGTAACTCCTCCATATTCTGGGGGAACTGACAGCTTGATTGGCAGTGAGGTCCTTGCGCAGATTTCTTGTGAGCTATTAGCCTTGTTAATTTCTCCTCTGCTGCAATAGATGTAGCCTGAAGTTCTGTGAATAACGGATTTCTGAAAATGCTAAGTCCTAGGATTGCCTTCCTGAAGAGCTAGCATCAGTTTCAAGTTTTCAGTCAAGGTAAAGTGCAAAAAACTTCAAAAGTGTTAGGAAATATGCCCACTATAGAAAAATAAAAGACTTGTTTATTGTTGAGCTCATCATTTCAAGAAATAGCTGAATATTTTTTTCCCCAAGTCCAGAAACAGTTTTCTCAAGATTGTGACCAGTATTTCTAATCTTTCCTAAGATTAGAAGAAGAAATAGGCAAGTATAGTGGGAGCTGTTTGGTTTACAAATATAAAATAAAATCTGATAATGTGACTTATGATGGTTCTTCTGATACTATAAAGTTGACTTTCCTCTGACTTTTTTTTTAAGAGCAAGTAAGCTTTGGAAAATATAAATGAGATGATTTAAATCTGTCTTTCAGAAAAAAGAAAGGTGGGCAAGAAAAAGTTTTATTTTGGTGCATTAATCCTATCACATTTTCCTTTTAACTTCATAATGTCTATTCCAATACAAAAGAGGTTAGTAAAGTATAAAAATCCATTTATAAGAAAAATGAATTAAAACTGTTGCTAACCAGAGAATACACTTACACACGGTCCACTAAACAGACACATTTATTAAGAACTGCCTGCAGCCAATAATGAAAATAATCAAAGATAGATCTAGGGAGGTGCATATAGATGAAAACCTGAATGAAAATCACATAGAGAAAAATACTAGAAAAGCAATAAAATGTCAAAGTTCTTCTTAGCTAACCTCAAATCTAGGAGTGCTAATTATAAGTATCACGCCTACAACATTTAAAAAAATCAGCAATATCAAGCTGACTCATATTAATGACAACAAAAAAGGAGACTTAAAGCTGATCAGTACATGAAATCTCACTCTGAGACCCTTTAGAGTAATTAGGTTCTCCTGTTCCTGGATTTAAGAGTGAACACTAATCTTAGAAAGACAAGATGGTAATAATATTAGCTACTATCATCAGTAGCTACAGGAATCTTAAGAATAGCGTATTCTCTCTCTCATTCATCTCCTGTCCTGAACAGTAGTATAAAGAGTCCTACAGTACATACTAGAGAAAGATAGAAACTCATTATAAGCAGGAGTGAATGAATATCCTAAAAGCTACTCAAATACATGCAAAATATCACAAAGTGTTCAGTTTTTACACAGATAATATCCAAACATAGTAGTAAGTACAGAATAATATTAACAAACACTCATCTTTGTAATCTACAAATTTTGTTGAACGCACTTAAATAACTAATAGACATAGACAGTAAAATGAACATCTGTCACCTATCAAGAAGTTTGACAGCTGTGTAAGTACCTATGGAATCCTTTTCAGAGAAACATAGAGGGCAACCACGATGCTAATACATTTTTCTACATTCATTATGATATCTGAAAACTAAACCCTAGGAGAAAAGTTTGAGTATGTGAGTATTATGGAAAATCATCAGATTTGGAATATGAAAGACTCAAACACTGATGCCAATTTTACTCTGTCAAGGCTTCCCAGTGTAAATTCAATGGAAAGAATATTAAATGAATGCATAATATCTGCAAAAAAGAACATCTACTAGCATTACTTTCAAGTATATTTAAGTTAATGTCCCTATAAAATATGAGCGGGAAACTATTACTTCTGGAATAATGAGACCTCCAAAAGGATTACCATGCCTCTTAGTCTTCTGCTGTATGCTGGCTTCCAAACCTAGGGCATACTCATAGTCAAACTAGTCCGATGCGGTCACTGGCTCTGAAAAATATGTCCCAGACATGGAAACCGATCTCTTGCAAATGGCCAGATAGACTCCTGTACACCCTCAAGAAAAAAACATTTTTTTTTTGTCTTTTTCCTTTTTATCGGTACCAGGGATCGAACTCATGACTGCCTGCTTGCAAGGCAGGCGCTTATGCTGCTGAGCTAAATCCCCAGCCCCGAAAAAAAAATCTTATAATAGGAGCATTCCGGGTCTAACTGAAAACAACAAAGCCTAGAAGACACAAAGGTTGTGAGAACAGTAAGGTGTATCTTGAATTCTTACATTTATGATTGGGAGTTGGGGAGTGATCCTAAGGATGACACCTAGAGAATGCTGAACTATACCCTCGATCTTTTTAACATAATCTTGTTTTTTTTGGTCTTTTTCATTTTTATCGGTACCAAAGATCGAACTCACGACCGCCTGCTTGCAAGGCAGGTGCTTATGCCGCTGAGCTAAACCCCCAGCCCCCAACATAACTGTGTCTTTTTGAGTTGCCTGGTGTGGCCTGAACTTGTAATCCTCCTGTCTCAACCTTCTGAGTAGCTAGGATTGCAGGTGTGCAGCACTGTGTGCAACACAGATTCTTGATTCTTAGCGAGCGCTTTGTAACCTGAGTTGAATGGCCAACCTCCCTCCGTTGTTATGATTTTTGTTCTGCAAAATTAAGATATCAATAAAGATACCAACAGTAAAATATTCTGAAAACTCAAAATACCAGACACCCTTTCCTCTTCACTGCTGTCACTTTTGTGGAAATGCCACCAATGACAATGAGCCAATGAGTAGAAGGCATTTTGAAGTTTAGGCAGCTAACGACTTACTGAAATAAGCAAACTGTTTTCACACACTTGTAACAAGCAAGCAGGCAGAAGTTTTTAAATGCATGCTTGTGAATTTTGGTACAACTGTAAAACACCAAAATAATCATTCCAGAAAAATCTTCTAAACTATTTCTGTAGGTCTAATATGAATTAAAGGCACAACACTAACATAAATGTACACTCAAAAGCCACCTATCATTAACCACAGACCACATTAGGAATTGAACAGAGACACTTTAAACATGGCTTTCTAAAATCATTATTCCTCTTACTCTTACCAAAACCATGTATGTAAGCTTTGGCTTAATGAATAAAAAAAAGTGTTTTCCTATTTACGGCTGTGTTTAAATAAAGTAATGATGCACCAGCTCAGTGTGTACATCCATAAATACATATATGTGCACACACCACACAAAAATGCCCTTCGTATTTATCTTTTCTCTTTAATCTTCGTATCATTACACCAAAAAGCTTCAGTCTGCCGCTTCAAATAGACTTTGATTCATCATCTCCCTGAAGGTGTAAATCAGAGATCTAGCCTCACGCTACAGTGTATGTCCTTGAAAATTCATTTTCAAAAATCCCAATCAGCTGTGTTATACACTGGAGTATGTTTGTCTAAAAGGTGACTAATTCAGACCGCTTTCAGCATAGAACTATCTGCTGACTATCACAATATAAACACAGGAACCTGGTTGCTGAGATTTTGCTGAAAATCACAATCTGGAGACCATAAAGGAAGTCATCTGAGTGTACCTAACAGCCTGTCAACAGTTATTTGCTTATTATCAGTTAAGGAGCTCTTAACTCTTTTATGTCCAGTGGCTATGCTTTGTAGCAAAATATGTATTCCTGGGATATAAGGCAACAAGTGAAGCCAGAGTAAAGGAGATCAGTCACATTAAAATGAGGATGTAGCTCAGAAGAAGCTCATGACACAGATTTCACAACAGAGCTGTGCCCTGGGGTACAGATGTGGCTCCTCGTTTCCCTACTTCCGCACAGAAGGGAAAAAAAAATCCTGGTAGCAGCAATGACATTTCATGTGGTGAGTGATTCATTTGAGGGCTCTAAATTCCCTTGATCTTTGCTTCTGAAGTTTGAGGGTTGAAACCCAAGAGCAGGTGGAATCTATAAAGACTGCTGATTGCCATTCCTTAGAGCGTTTGGTAAAATAGGCTATTTTTAAAATTCAGCAAGATGGGTGGTGATTCGTCCTAAAACAAATTAGAACCGTGAAATTCACTGTTAACCTTTTCCTTGATGCAGGAAGCCAGCTGACAGGACTGGCTACCCCCCACTTTGCTCCCCGGGACCAATGACTGCACGTATTACTTACCCAGGACTGTGATGGTAGTGTAACTTTCCTGTGGGGGGTCAGTGTAGAGCTGGCAGAAGTAACGCCCTTCATCAGAAATTGAGACGTTTGTCAATGACACTTTGAGTTCACTGCTAGAAAAATTCAGCAACTGAAACCTGCTGTCTTTCAAAGCTGTGAAACAAAACAAAGTGGTTAGTGACTGTGAGGAAAACAACCATCCATTTCCCTGAACTAGAGGAAAAGAAAGTTGAGCTTCTGCAGTAAGCGGATACAAACAAATAACCCTACCCACAGGGAACTGCGCGTGTGGGGGTACGCGTGCGAGCAGATGCGCACACACCTCACTTGGCGCAATTGCAGCCGCCGTCTGTTTCAGCAGTTACTCATAAACTGTTTCAGGCTTCCTACTAATTAGGCGAAATGAAAATGGAAGGAAAGGGCAAACCGAGTCCGCTGACATAGGAGGCCAGCCCTTCTCAGCCTTTGGGCACTAGCAGTTCAGGAACTAGGGCCTACAAACTTTTAATGTGCCTTTCAAAATCCTAGGCTTAAAAATAATAAAACAAACAAACAAACAAACAAACAAAAAAACCGCAGTGGTTCCAAATTTCAAAAACCATTACTGATATTCCAAAGCAAAATAAAACCATTTAAAATGTTGTAACAAAGCCGTCCTGTTAACTTGTGTGCATCTTGATGTATGGGATGTGACTTGAGGTGAAGCTGCCAAACACAGGGAGTCTGGGGCCAACACAGACAGACTGAGGTGGTCCTCTAGTGCTCTAGCTACACTCAGCAGCTTCCCAGCACGGACCCAGGCATCAAGAAGGCATCAGGAGTGCTACAAAAGCAGTGTCTATGGGCTTCTTATTATCTCAAATGTTCTCTTTTGAAATCCACTGACTTTGGCAAAGGCTGCTTAGGCCTACAATGAGAAAAAAAATCTACTTAAGAATAGGAAACTGACTTCCCCGTTTTATCCTCCTTCATCCACGCCTATGTTCTTTAGTTTTATAAACTCTCTCTACAGGTCACAACTGTCCCTGTCTTTTGGGGTGGAACAGTGACAAGTAACCAGAAAGGGACACACTGGACATTTGCTTCGGTTCAGTTATCAATAACTCAAATAACATTTTCCCCCCAAAGATTTGTTTCTTGCTCTTGTCACACCATGATACCTGACTGAACCATTTGTATTACACACAGCCCAGATTCCATGATCACCTTTTGTTATAATATGTATGGAAAGATTTTAGCATATAATATCTCCTTATACCAGTCTGGTGAGAGATTTGGTTTTGTCATTTAAGCACAGATTACCCTGGAACCCACCATCTTCAAATCCAACAGACTATCTTTCGGAATGCTATATTTTCCTTGTCTCACCCTATTTGAGTTGTTTGTGTTGGCTCAGTATTTGGGACTCAATTGCAATTCACCTTGAATTACTACAATCAATTCCTATTGCAAAGTAAAACTGCCTTACTTTTAAAAGGGATGATTCAAGATTTCTATTAAGTAGAAAGATTATGATTGCCTGCCTCTTCTCCTCTTTAAAGAATTGACTAAACTTTAAGCATCTAACATTAAATTAAAAAAAGGTGGCCTTAGCAATCTCTTTGTCAGACAACGTGTAGGAAAAAGTTGTAGCCTAACATGATGGCAATGGAAACTTACGCCTGAAGTCCCTGAAATAAATGGTCTGCCTGTTGGGATTCAGGAGTTGAATCACAGAGTCGTCGCTCTTATTGACTTGGCAGCTGATGGTTGCAACTTCTCCTTCAATCACTGTCACGTCTTTCGTAAACAGATTCTGTCCATTGCCTTAAAAATGAAAAACAAAAAAAGAGAAAAAGATCAGAAAAAATTCCATCAACTAAAATTTGTTTCATAGGATCAATTAAAATGAAAAAGAAGCGAGAAGTATCAGAGAATGAACACAAATAGCAACGTTTGGTACGGCTCTAATACTTTTCTCTCAAGTTCATAAAATGAGTCTATTAAACTAAGGCTGATCTGGAGATAAACTACAACAAAGCCTGGGATTGCTGTGGTCTCACGGGCTGCAATGCCGAAGTCCCAGCCTCCAGTGTCCTGCACTGCTTGGTCGTAAACTATGGAGGTATCGGAAAGGTCAGAGGACTGGCTTCGGTGAGGAGCTGCAGCTTTCCCAGCCACAGGAGAAGACGCACGTATGGTCAACCACAGCTCACACGCCCTTGAGCTAAGCTATTTGGTTGCCTCACAGAAAAGTCAAGAGCCCACTTAACAGAAGTAGATAGAAGGTTCGATAAATAATCTTGTCTTGTTAGTGGATGTCCCCGTTCCCAATGTATAGGCATCCACTTAGTCACTGTGTTCGAGTCACAGTGTGGCTACGAGTCTCTGAGATCTCAATTTAATCTAGGAAAGACCCGAGAGTCTGCTACTCTACTCTCACACCTTCAAGACTTGCTCGAGCCCTGGGCTGCTCTGAACCCCTGCCTCTTACTGTAGATCACCGTCTAGCCATTTAGAAAATCCTTTTTAGCACATGTCAAAAAGTCAAGGCTTTTCAGATCCACTGATAGAAGACATCTCCAGATCTGCTCCAGTTTGTAGCTTCTAAGATTAGTGACAGCAGCCAGGGTACCTCATAAATGTCCTAAATGCTCCACAGCACAGGTAGGAGGAGGAGAGTTTAATTCAGAAGTAAAAGATGAAGCGATTGTCAATTGTTCAACTCTGCGCCCTGCATAGCAGGGAATGCCGACACAAATGACATCCCTGCCTTAAAAAAGTTGCAATTTGAGTAAAACAGGATATCTCACTCTTATTTAAGAACACAAAAGATGTCATAAGTGCAGGTGTATGGGTCAGTCAGGAAAGAGGGAAGGCTGCTTTTTAGCTGTAGCTGTATGTGTGTTGGGGGGACTGGTTTTTAGCTGTATAAGGAAAATTATTTCTGAGCCACTTTCTCATCTGAAAATAGGGACAGTAATTAAAAGCTATCTCACAGAGCTGATATAAAGCACTGAGCAATGTCTAGCTTCTCAGAAAAGTAAATAAACGGTAGCTTTCGCAACTGTCACCATCATCATATGATCATCATCATCCTTTCTCTGGATGTCAAAGCCAAGCAGTTATTAAGCCATTATGATGTGCAGGGAGTACTGTGGATTCATCAACGCACAATCACAGGCTCTGCGTAAGAGAGGAGCTCTCTGTGTAGCTGCTACACATCAGCTCACGGTGGTTTATTCGCTCCTTAAAAAAAGTTGTCACATCAAGACACAAAGGTCAAAGATAAATACTAATCTGGGGGGAAAACTGAGACAGCATAAATAGAGACGCAATTAGAATAAATGGAAGATTTCCACCTGCTATCATCTTTCTGCTGAAGGATCCTTTCTTGGCAGGACATAGTCGCAAAGTGTGAGGAGGGTGTCTAAGAGGGCTTTAAGCCAAATGCACCTAGAAATAGACCTTGGCAGAGGATTAGAAGAGGGGAAACTAGAAGGATAAGAGGAAGAAAAGATTATTAGAGCCACAGATAAAACAGAACTTCTTGGTACTTGAGGAACAAACCAAAATGAAACCTGGCCTTGAGCTCTGTGACTCAGGGAGAGGGTAGGTTCTCCCTAGCTTCATCCAGAGAAGAAGGTGAGTAGGCGGAACCAGCCTTACAAAATAACAACAAACAGAAAAAATGATCAGAAAAAATGAAAGGATTCTTTTTTTTTCTTTAGTGGATTACTGTGACAAACACAGAATTTGGAACCCTGCTGGAGGCAGTAGTTTGTTCCCAAAGCAGAGAAAGAAAAAGAAGGGAATTCCCGTCAAACAAGCTCTTTGGGGAGGGTTTTTTGGTCCTGGCAAATATGTACAAGAAGGACAGAATTCTTATATTCTCAGGGTATCACAATCTACTAAGAAAATTAGGGAAAAATGAAACTGCATGATTCCAGTGCTCTGACCACCTCAAGTCATGGGACTGGGACACCACATGGGGTCTCATTTGGTTCTTGGAAGCGGAAGGGGTCTTATATCTAAAGAATGTCTAATAGCAATACAAATAATCTCCAGTTTACAAAAGATACATGAGAAAAGCCTGCCTGTTGATAGGCATAATCCCTTCAAGGTACAACAGGGCCTCACAGATGCTAACCACCACTCTATCTTGAAGCTACTGGGACTTGAAGCCACTTGCAATTCAATTACGCTCTAATAGAACAGCTCCTGCGGAAATAACTATGAGCTTTAATTTTAGCTCTTTATTCGAAATCCTAAGGCTAGTATACTCAGAGAGGCACTTACTACATTCATATTAAGGCTAGACAGCATTTATCAGAAGATAGCAGCAAACAGGACTTGACCATAGTTTTTGTTTTTAAGCAATGAAGGCCATAAAACAGAACCAGAAGTTTCTGTTTATTTTTATAAAGTCTAAACATGTCTAACTGTACCCTTAATTAGGTATTGTAAGAGTAGACATTTTTAATGTGTCATATGAAGCAAATTATTCAGGTAAACTGTTACCATTTGTAAATTTTTGCCCTTGCTGTGCTCTAAAAAATTCCATGGTAATATTAATAACATTATGATATTATTATTTAATTATCAAGGTGAACATAACACTCAGCAACCCAAAACATGCCAGTTTCTAGCTGTGTTAACATGGTGGCAATGCTAATGCTAAAAAAAAAAAAATTGAGTGATAATAAATATTTTAATGAAAGATACTGAAGTGCTCTGGCTGATGGTAGTGGCCCAAAGATGTCATTTTGTAAAAATCACCAATAAATTATACGGGTCAGTTGAATGGCTCCATACTTTGAGGCACCATATGATGGCTGCAATGGGATAATAATGACCTATTTATTTGAGGCAAAGGAAGTGAATGACAGTGATGAAAATATGGTATGTATGTCAGTACTCTTTAACAGCCTGAAGCCTTTATGTAAAAATAATTTCTGCTCACATCCTCAAATATTTCTTCCCAACAGAAGGGTGCACTGTGACTTGATAAATTTCCCCTTGAAATAGGTATCGTGACAATTAGGTTGTTATAAAGCACAATTTGATATATAGCAGATGGCTACAAACAGGAAACTGGTGCTCTCTTTAAAAAATTCACATTAAAAAAAAACCTTTCTGATTTTCTAAAACTCACTTAGCAGATACACTGTCCAGGCAGAAATAGCGCATATTCTGGGGGAAAAAATCAAATAAATACAATACACTACAGCCATTAAATAAGGCTGTTAATAGCAAGGTACTTTATTTTAAGGACAGAACAATGTCTGGCATGTATTTAGGAGGCAGAATCAAACTGGATTTTAATTTATACTAGTGACTATTATGTTATGGAAATATATTCTGTGTAACTCCCAGATTTGCCCCACAATTTCTAAAAATAAAACTCTAGCACTGGAGAGGCCCATTCATTCACATGCAAGTCTCCTGTTGTAAACTACAAGTTACTAGGACATTCATCACAATAAGACAAAACTTATCACCTCAAAAAGGTACAAACTTATTTTGATGATGGGCAAGCTGGTGAGGGCTAGTCCGGCTGGAGGTGCAGCCGACACACAAATCTCTGTACTCAGACTTCAATTAATGCAGCTTGTGGATTCTTTCCTAAAAACCTCATTTTGTTACAAACCCCACTGAGACAGCACTGTATTGATTGGACTCCATTCAATCAACAATATGCCCTCCTTAGGGAGGTGATGGGGCAGATCCTACAGCAAGAACTAGAAATAAGAAACAGGACAGAGGACACAGGTCCACCCAGTGCTGGCACCATGCTGGCTGCATTACATACCTTTCCCCTTTAATTCTGCAGTTTGCAATGTCCCCACTTTAAAGATGAAAAACCTCAGACAGATTTCAGTCAGTTGATGTAATTCAGCTAAGTGGCCAAACTGGCATCTGAACCCCGTTCTGCTAGGTTCTCCTGCCCACACAGCTTGGACTTCTTACCAGCCAACGTCGGCACTGGTTGCCAAGGTTCTATTGGCTCGGCCTTGGAAAATGTACTTGTTTTTAAAGAGCGTTGTTTCCCTGTGAGCAACTTCTGATTTTTTTTTTTATTTCCACAATTTATCTCCAACACAATTACACACTTCAAGATGAGAGAGAAACTGTCCTGAATGTAAAACACCTTGTTTACCACTGCTTCCTTCTTTCAGTGCGCAGTACACCCTGCCCCCAGAGAAAGCCTTTATTACCTGAGCATGGCAGGCATTTGCCAGCACTGAGAGCTTTTGCCCACTGCCTGGCTGTTAATAAATAAAGCACTTCATTTACACTGGGGAGTCTCTCTAGTCAAGTCCATAATAAAAGGGCAAGTCACAGTTAAAACATAGATCAGTCTCTGCTATGGCAACCGTGTAAACTCTTACTGACAGGGAGGAGCACCATGACCCTTAATGAGGGATGACAGTTTGCCCAGAGTGGTAGCAAGGAAGAGTTCTGACCTAGTCCTTCAACAGCGAAGATCATATTAGCCTCTCCTACTGCCTGCCCCGGTTCTACAGAAGACTGAACGTAACACTGAACCAGCACGGTCACTGTCTGAGAAAGCAGCACTCAAACTCAAACTACAGATGGTTAAAAAAAAAGAAATTGGGGCTGGGGATTTAGCTCAGCGGCATAAGCGCCTGCCTTGCAAGCAGGCAGTCGTGATTTCGATCCCTGGTACCGATAAAAAGGAAAAAAAGACAAAGAAAAGAAAAGAAATAAACAGCTTGCTGATTGATGTACGTAGTATCTTTAAAATCTCACTATAGTTAATTTGAAATTTTACACAAATGGAAATCTCATTTACTTATTCTTAT